AATTAATCATAAGCAATGAATGAAATGTATTCAAATCTTAGCTGTATATTTTTTTTATTTTTGATGTTAATGCACTGTCGATTGCACCTATAATTGAGGTGACATCAGCCATGAACTTTTGTCAATTTGTCAATGTTTTGTATTGATGATCACTTTGTTGGTGCAACTTAATAAATAAATAATAAATAATAAATAATAAATAATAAATAATAAATAATAAATAATAAATAATAAATAATAAATAATAAATAATAAATAATAAATAATAAATAATAAATAATAAATAATAAATAATAAATAATAAATAATAAATAATAAATAATAAATAATAAATAATAAATAATAAATAAATAAATAAATAATAAATAAATATTTACTAACAATCACGGCACGTTAACTGGTCCCGTGATAAGTTCATAAAAACTTGTGTTACAGGTACCAGATAACGGAAATAAATGTAAGATTTTTATTATACACATACATATATTTAATATACATCCATAACCCTGGAAAATACATTTATATTTATCATACAAATATCTTCTCTTGGCGGGATTCGAACCCGCGACCCCCTTGTGTAGTGACCATGTCACTTACCACTACACCAGACGGCCGTTAAATCTCGAATAATTATATCTCGAAACTGAAGTTGTCGTGGCGTAAAAGATAAGACGACCGGTGCATTCGTATCTAGCGACGCAAGGGTGTTCGCATCCCCCAGGCTGGTACCAACTATTCTAGTGAAATACTTACTTAAAAATGTTCACGACTAAACTTTGTAACTATACTGAGACCTTAGAACTTAAATCTCAAGGTTGGTGGCCCATTTACATTGTAAATGTCTATGGGCTCCAGTAACCAGTTAACACCAGGTGGACTGTGAGCTCGTCTACCCATCTAAGCAATAAAAATAAATAAATAAAAACTACTCTATTAGCTTAGGCGGCAAGCCAGAGAGACTATGCATCAAAATTACCTTAAACAAAATGTTTAGGTATCTACTTCCTAAATGGTTTGTAGTCGTTTTTTTTTTTAATAAATATAGTTATTTTTGTAACTCTTACAGGCGATAATAATAAATGTATATTTATGAAAATCTGTCGACTGTATTGACTGCATTCATGTTTTGGCGTATTTTATCTTATAAAATACTTATAATACTTCTTAAATAGCTAGTACATTCAGTGAGTTTATATAATCTCATATGAATATTCCGATTACACAAAAAATTGGCTGTCTGTAAAATCGGTTTACGGACGTGACGTATAACGACATAGAGAAACATTGATGAAAAATCGCATACTTTTATTGAATTGAAATTGAATGTTTATAACTGAATTATCATTATTTTGTATAATACAATACAGCCTTAGGTAGAACGTGACACTTTTTCGTGCGCGCAGCCGGTCATCATCGATTTCAGTGGCGATAACACGTCAAAAATATTTAAAAAAAAAATTGTATGGAACAGGTGCGATTTGTTTCGACTATGCTGCCGATTTCTAATCCAAAAAGATGTGCTGTGTGATTAAGTTAATATAATCGTCATTCCGTTACTATAATATATATTAATACGTGAAGCAAAAACTTTGTATCTCTTTTTACGAAAATTGCGTGGACGGAGGAGTATGAAATTTTCCACACCTATAGAGAATATAGAGAAGAAGTGCACAATGCTAATATTTTTTTTAAATAATGCGTAAAAGATACATTACACACACATACATTACACATACATTACACATACATTACACATACATTACACACACTACATACCACGTATTTGACGCACACATGCATGCATACTATTTATTGTCAAACTTTTGTTCTTGACGTCTGTTGTCAAATTGAGAATAAATTAAATATTGTTTGTCTTTGTTAATATTTTTTATAGTGTAGTCTTGACGAAATTTGTGATTATAGAAGTATAAAATACAATCTTAATAGTGTACAAACTTACAATTCCAATTAATTATAGTCGACTACTGCGGGACCTCTAGTAATACATTAACATACTAATTTTATTAAACACTAAACGAACCACAAACGAAATAAATAAACGAAAACAAAACCGGAATCGGTTCTATCTCTTCATTTTCTTCACCTTATCTCACCAGCTGGGGTCGGCACAGCTAATTTTTCTTTTCCATTCTCTTCTATCAACCGTCAACTCAACACTCATCTCTCTCTCTCTCATATCGTCATTCACACACCCATCCATGTCTTCTTCGGTTGACTTCTTCCCCCTCTACCTTGCACTACCATTTCCNCGAAAACAAAACCGGAATCGGTTCTATCTCTTCATTTTCTTCACCTTATCTCACCAGCTGGGGTCGGCACAGCTAATTTTTCTTTTCCATTCTCTTCTATCAACCGTCAACTCAACACTCATCTCTCTCTCTCTCATATCGTCATTCACACACCCATCCATGTCTTCTTCGGTTGACTTCTTCCCCCTCTACCTTGCACTACCATTTCCATACATCTCCTAGACACATGTATCTTTTCTCTGCGCATCACATGTCCATATCACGCTAACCGTCCACTCTTTAATTTGTTAATTGCCAGGGCTACTTCCTCTTGTACATACTAGGCTGCACTAAAAGTATCGGGAATGGAATATTTCCACTGTTCCTGTCATATTAAAATCTTTTTAATTGAAAACTCCTTGGTTTTAAAAATCGAATACCATTTATTTATTTAAAAAAAGATTCTCGGTCTTGTCACGAGGTTTTGGTGGTGGTCTCTACCCGTGCGGACTCAGAAAGTATCACAAGCATCGTTTCATTTCAAAATGAATATTCTTTTTTTTATTATTATCATTATTATTAAACTCTTTATTTCAGATAATAATTCATATAAATGTTAGTAACAGTTATTTCTTAAAAATAAGTTAGTAAGGGCATAGTTTTTTGTACTTTGGTTGTATGGTATGGTTGGGCGACATACTCGTATACTTATTCCGTATTTTTATTCCCGGAGTCGGTTATAATGCAATTAAGCAATTGGGCATGTCTATTTAACGCAATCTGTTTTTGGTTTTAGGTGGAGCATTACACTATCGGCAACGGACGCCCGGTAAAATTTCAACGCTCAGATTACGGGCACATAAAATTTTAAACACGATAGTGTGGAATCTGCTTATACACCGCTTAAAATTTTACACTTTACATTTTTAAAGGAGAGTGCTTTGAAATTTTACTGGTACAAAAATGTCGCGTCACTGTTATTTATTGCTTTATTTCACGTTTTGTAAAATATTTGGCTTTTTCTGTTTTATTATTCAAACCTTAAATTGTTACTTGTAGTTAGCTGATCTATAACATGATACATCTGCTGTCTCGTATAAAATCTCATCTAATTTTAAAACTCTTTCATGATTATGTTTTTTTTTTACAGTTTAGATGGTTAAACGAGCTCACGGCCCACCTGGTGTTAAGTGGTAACCCGAGCCCATAGACATCTACAACCTAAATGCCGGCACCCACCTCGAGACATGAGTTCTAAGGTCTCAGTTTTACGGTACAATGGCTACCCCACCCTTCAAACCGAAACGCATTACTGCTTTACGGCAGAAATAGGTGGGGCGGTGGTACCTACCTATCCGGACGCATAATTCTAATACTAAAAACCACGGAAACCTTTTGGAACCCTTTGCGTTAGTTTTTGGCGAAATTAGTATCAAATAGTATAATCTCCACGGCGGAATAAAGTCATAGCCAATCTCAAGAGTCTCAGTCAAGATAATTGAAATATATAGACAAATTTTATCACTAATAAAATCCAATAGGGCACTTCCCGTTAACTTAGAATCATATCAGTTGTCAAGGGAGGTCTTATAGCTTAAAATAAAGGGAAAAAGTTACTGATTTGTACTTTTCTGATGTAAAAAAAAATAATACATTTTTGTGAAATACAAACATTCATTTGCAGGTAAAAGTGAAAGTAAAACATGTATGTATTATGGATTAAAAAAAAAACTATTAAGAAACTATTCTTATTACAATGTAGTTCTTTTTCTTTCTATCCGTCCAGACAGGCAAAGAAAACTTTAATAGAACTAAAACTTTCAATAATATTATGTATTTCTTTTGTGTTGGGCGTCTATGTTTTGGAAACCCACGCACAATATACGAATAACATTAGTTATTAATGGTCGGCCAGCTGAATATACAGCTTTAGATTGAATCAGAGCCTTCAGGGTGCGTATTCGACTCATGCTATAATGTTTTTATAAAATTAAGTGGATAATAATATGTCTAAAATACTTAACCCAATAATTGTTTTTAAGATCTATTTTTGAAGTCGTCGTGGCCTAAAGGATAAGACGTCCAGTATATTCGTATCTAGCGTTACTCCGGTGTTCGAATCCCGCGGGCTGGTACCAATAATTTCTAATGAAATACGTACTTCATAAATGTTCACGATTGACTTCCATGGTGAGGGAATAACATCGGGTATTAAAATCGAACCCGCCAAATTATAATTTGCGTAATTACTGGTGGTAGAGCGTCTTGTGGGTCCGCACGCAAAAGTAACATCACTCTGTCTATTTCTGCCGTGAAGCAGTAATGCGTTTCGGTTTGAATGGTGGTGCACCACCCGGTGGTACACCGACACAGTTGCATCAATTGATACGAATGCACTAGAAGTCTTATATTTTAGGTCACGACGATTTCTTGTTTCATCGTACCATTAATGTTTTATGTCTACGCTATATGTGTATTCTTTATCTAATATATAAAATTCTCGTGTCACGGTGTGCGTGATTGAACTCCTCCGAAACGGCTCGACCGATTTTCGTGAATCTTAGCTTGCATATCGTGCATCGGTGGTACCTACCCGCGCGGACTCACAAGAGGTCCTACCACCAGTAATTACGCAAATTATAATTTTGCGGGTTTGGTTTTTACTACACGAGCCCTAAGCTCGTTCATCCATCTGAGTGATAATAAAAAAAGCTCATAAATAATTTTACATCTTATTAAATTTATTAATCAATTATCGAAATTCTTATCTTTTAAGTATTTTTAGAACAGTCCGGATTTGAAACTGTTCGTCGCCACTTCAGATCGAAGTGATAGGTTAATTAATTGATATTTCGCGTTGTTTTGTTTTGTTGGGACTTAATGTTATTTTCAGGCGAAGTTTCACTTCATTAGTTTTCTATTCGAAGTTTCTTAGAAGCGATTAGTCTCTGTTCATCAACTATGTTTATCGTTAGTTAAGCTATATCGTATTATCGTTCTGAGAAATGGACTATTAATTTTAAGGGTTAGCCTGATATTAAGTTGTAGCCTCTAGACGTCACCACTTGGGTGCTACTATCTATTTTTAAATAAAGATTTTATTAAATAACCACTGTCATTTGACCAGAGTATGGTGCTCGTGTGAATCTCAAACATAGGAAGCATTACATCCGCGAGCAATACCATCGGATCGGATATACAATATAATATTATATTAAATTTATAATAAACTAGCTACACTTGCGGCTTCGCCCGCAACGAAAAGCTATTTTGTATTACCACATAAAAACCATAAGACGATTCAGAAAGCTAATTACGTAAGATAATTTTAGGTGGACATACATGCATACATATTATATATGCATTCTCTTTTATATATATAGATTTCATATCAATTCGACCTGTGGTTCAAAAGTTTAAAGTCAATGCCACCGAGTGGCAATGTCGACTTTTATATCTGTGCAAAGTTTCATATCAATTGAGCTAACGGTTCTCGAGTTTCAGGGGAACATACAAACACACATACATTCTCCATTAAATACATAGATTTCATATTAATATTTTCTTTAACAGAAATCGCCGAATTGACTCATAAGTTTTCATCAGTGACGCTGTACAGGAATCAGACCGTTCGATATTCAGCTCGGATGCACGCCATCATCGCGTGCCAAATGGAATTTCAACTTTATCCCATGGACATACAGTCGTGTCCTATCTACATAGAGAGCTGTAAGTGATACATCAACATAATATACATGATAGATAGTTTATATTTTTATACATAATATACTAGCCGAACTCGCCCGCTTGGCTGGGCATTTAAAATTAACATTATTATTTATTGTCATTTTTATTAGGGAGTCCAACACTCATATAAACATTAGCCTATCCATTAAGTACATGCATTTTCTACATGGATACCAAGTTTCAAGTCAATCGGATGCATGGTTCAGTAGTTATAACGGAACATCCGTAAACACCACTGTCGATTTATATATTAGTACAGATTTCATATATTATCATGTACGGTAGGCAGCGGTTTGGCTCGGCCCCTGGTATTGCTGAAGTCCATGGGCGACGGTTACCACTAACCATCAGGCGGGCCGTATGCTCATCTGCCTACAAGGGCAATAAAAAAAAAACACATTTCTAGCGTTTTGTTGAACCCCATTATTCTCACAGTCTCATATAGCAATCAGAAAGTGAGGTTCCGTTGGAGCGAAGCAGGGGTCACCATAAATCCTGAACTGAAACTGCTGCAGTACCACATCGGGCAACCGTTGCGGCTAGAAGAGACCAACGGATACATGATCGATAAGGACGGTGAGAATCCATGTTTCTATTACGAGGCAGGGCTGACGCGTTTCGTCTCTCTATCAGCCCACAAGCGTCTATTGCTGGATATAGGTCTCCCCCAACCCTCGCCATAACGACCAGTCCTGCGCTACTTGCATCCAACAGATCCCCTCGACCCTCAATAGGTTGTTAATCCACCTTGGGGGGGCCTACCCACGCTACGTCTTACGGTACGTGTTACATCTGTTGGAAAATAATCAGCGCTCTCTTTCGACAATGATAATGTCAGGTACAGGAAATGTGGCCTCCTTACATATCTACTTACTAAGCAAGTTACCGTTAAGATATAAAAACTTAAAACTATTTGTAATTTTTTGTGCGTGCCTAGATTTGTTCGTCCCTTTTTTAAGACGTCAAACCTAATTCAATCTAAACTTTAATCAAGACCGGTATGTTCTAAGAGAAAAAATAACTAGTATTTTTCTTATAAAGATAGAACAAGTTTAATGAAATTATCTTTTTGACACTTATCCGTATTATCAATGTTGTCATTATCAGTCACGAAAAAGATACGAACCCTTGTCAAAAAATCACATAAACCCTATATAAAATATATTAGGTGCTAACGTAGAAATGGAACCCAATATCAATATAATTCAATAAATTTATAGAGATTAAATTCAGTATCAGTATAGTTTTGAAAGTCGTCGTGGCCTAAAGGATAAGACGTCCGGTGCATTCGTATCTAGCGATGCACCGGTATTCGAATCCCGCAGGCGGGTACCAATTTTTCTAATGAAATATGTACTTAACAAATGTTCACGATCGGCTTCTACGGTGAAGGAATAACATAGTGTAATAAAAATCAAACCCGCAAAATTATAATTTGCGTAATTACTGGTGGTAGGGCCTCATGTGAGTCCGCGTGGATAGGTACCACCACCCTGCCTATTTCTGCCGTGAAGCAGTAATGCGTTTCGGTTTGAAGGGTGGGGCAGCCGTTGTAACTATACTGAGATCTTAGAACTTATATCTCAAGGTGGGTGGCGCATTTACTTTGTAGATGTCCATGGGCTCCAGTAACCACTTTACACCAGGTGGGCTGTGAGCTCGTCCACCCATCTAAGTAATAAAAAAAAAAGCGCAGAGAGAAGGTGCATGTGACTAGGAGATGTAGGGAAATGGTAGTGCAAGGTAGAGGAAGGAAGAGGTCGACGCACGAAGACCAGGATGGAGTGTGTGAATGACGATATAAGACAGAGAGGAGTGAGTGTTGACATGACGGTTGATAGAAGAGAATGGAATAGAAAAAATCGCTGTGCCGACCCCACCTAGTGGGATAGGTTGGACAGATCAGTATAATATAGGTATAATAGTCATTCTTAGTAAATAAATGTTACCACGTGTAATCAACTGCGAAGGACACATTTGGGTACGGTAGACCGATCTGTTAGCGAAGATCACGAATATTGTTTTTTTTCATTGGCTTTGTGAGTAGATGAGCCCACCTGATGGATGTCAGCAATGTCAGGAGCAAAGTCAAGCCGCTGCCTACCGTTGAGAATTTTCCGCAAACTTCGTTTGAAGAAAGACATGTCATAATACGCAACATCAAGGAGGGAAGTTAATTTCAAAACCGGATGGTACGTGACAGTAAAGATCCTTGGAGACGCATTGTGTATTTTTGAAGTTATACTTCTTTAGGCGCGTTATGAAAAAATTGATGAGAGTGTAATTTTACGATGCGCGCGCACCGTGACACAAAATTAACAGAAATGAAGTTGCCCACTAAATGGCTCATTACAATACGACCGACGTAACTTGGCGAGTCTGAATATAGCCGCAGGTGAACTTTCCGAACCGTACCGAGAATTACGAATTCGAATTTATACGATGTCAAGAAAAGGGATGTCCAATACGCGTGTTTGAGAATGTTGTTTAATCGTTTTTTTTTCAAATTGATTAAAAATTCATAAAAAAAAAGATATAAACTTAATAAAATAGTAGTTTAGTTTAAAAAAGTATAACTTCTTACGCGCGTACATAAGTACACGCACCCTTTTTTTATTGCTTTGAAGGGTGTGTAAGTTGAAGGAAAGTAATGCGTTTCGGTTGGAAGGGTGGGGCAGCCGTTGTACTGTACTGAGACCTTAGAACTGCATATCTCAAGGTGGGTGGCGGCATTTACTTTGTAAATGTCTATGTGCTCCGGTAACCATTTAACACCAGGTAGGACGTGAGCTCGTCCGTCCTGGCCTAACGGATAAGACGTACGGTGCATTCGTGTTGAGCGATGCACCGGTGTTCAAATCTCAGACGGGTACCAATTTTTCTAATGAAATACGTACTCAACAAATGTTCACGATTGATTTCCACGGTGAAGGAATGACATCGTGTAATAAAAATGAAACCCGCAAAATTATAATTTGCGTAATTACTGGTGGTAGGACCTCTTGTGAGTCCGCGCGGGTGGGTACCACCACCCTGCCTATTTCGGCCGTGAAGCAGTAATGCGTTTCGGTTTGAAGGGTGGGGCAGCCGTTGTTACTATACTTCGTCCGTCCTCTGTGCAATAAAAAATAAATAAATAAAAGTTATGACTACCTTCCAATATAAAATGATGCGGGTGACACATGTATTTTTATTATCATTTAATAATGTATTGTATAGTTTGTAATTTGAATGTAACGGGAGAAATTAAGATGCGAAACGATCTTACAAAACGTAAGCGTTGCCCGCTGAGGTCAAACGTCATTAAGCCTATTTTGAATATTTCAAAAGCGTCACGAGACTGATCAGAATTCAGACTTAGAATTCTGTTCTGTGANGAAACGTTGGGCAGCCAGATATAGTGAGGGGTAGATCTCAGGGGTATTTAAAACTATGGGTTAGTCACCAATATCGAATTTCGAATTTTAATCTTCCTTTATCACAAACAATTTTCAATTTTAAACAATAAATACATTTAGACGCGGGCGCACGCTATTCGCACTCAAAACGGAAGCGCCCGGAACATAGATTATACACCGTTGAAAAGATTGACATAGATGCTAACTATGTATAGCGAGCGGGCATACGGCCGCGAGAGTGACGTACCGGTCGGTTTGCTACAATTTTCAATATTTTTAATAAATTCTGCTACAACTTTTTATTCTCTATTTCTATGTATCTTCTTACGCTTCTGCCTTCTGTGTATAATAGTCTCAAAAAAATTACCTATTTGATTCCGTGTTGATATAATATTCGTGTGACATGCTGAACAGACTTTAAATGATACGATCAACTCTAACAATAAACTTAAAACTAAAAATCTTAAAAAAAAACTATCACTATAATAACTAAAATATATGATTAAAAGGAGTTCCTTTAGGCAAGGCTGCGAAGACACTAGCAGCGTTCCCCTTTTGAATAATAGCTAGACTAATTCTTTGTCCGAGGTAGTTACCAGCTCTGCGGTCACCTGTGATGTCGGCTAAACTTTTTGCTATTTCCTTAAAAAGCCTCATACTGTAAATTATAAAGAACTTTAAATAAATCAGCTATAAATAAATGAAGAACTTGAATGGACTTTAAATTATGAAGTAATCTCATATATTTTTTTTGCCTACCTAAGTATGCTAGTATCCTCGAGAAGTTATTCTAGCTTCACCGGACGTGTAGGCGAACGCACGGGACTCAGCCTTTGCTAACACTATCCCTAGCAAAGAGTAAACTCAACAACCATAGGTGTACTGAATTTAAAAATATTTTTAATCGTTGTTGTTGTTTTCGAAAACTTTTTTTGGAGGGAAGAATTGCTGGTGGCTCTAATGCCTCTCCAGTTTTACCAGGACAAATGGGCGAGCAAAGGCTCAGCCAGGAGGGGTGTGATTTGCTAGCAACTGCTCGAGTGCTTCCAAAGGAGACCTAACAACTTGAGAGCAGCTGCTTCGCGAATGAATCTATTACTGAGTCGGAATCGCTAACCGCTGAGAAGATTCCGCGAGAAACTCAGCCCACTGACGTATAAGTTAGGTTGCACGTCGAAGTCCTTGCCGAGCTCGACGAGTACGGTTACCGGGGTCCCTAAGCCTGCTCCTAGTACTATAGCTGAAGGCTAAGATAAGGCTGAATGATAAGATTAGCGGATCTGAAAGGCAAGGACGTGTTTCGAGATTTTTTAAAAATTATAGATATTATGTATGCAATATTCAATATAAATTTATGCACAAATTTCCTTCGTTTTTCAGAAGGGTGTTCTCAACATGCCTATATTTAAACTTCAAAATAGCGTTTCTCAAACTATCAGTACAAAACATAAGTGATTTTTTTATACATAAAAATAATCAAAAAAGTGTTATTAATAATGGTGGAATTGCGATGGTTACGCGAACGCTATATAAGTTTTGACCTTAGCAGTAAATCGAACCAACCATATTAATCAGCATTTACAAAAATCTTAATTTTCATTATATCGATTCTCCTCTACATTATAATATCTTAATCATATTTATCACAAATAAGCTATTTTTAAAGATCAGTCAGGCTCAGTTCGATCTTTAGCAAAATAGTCATTGCATTTCGAGGTGGGTGGCGCATTTACGTTGTAGATGTCTATGGGCTCCAGTAACCACTTAACATCAGGTGGGCTGTGAGCCCGTCCATCCATCTAAGCAATAAATAAAAAAAAAATAAAAAAAAATTGAAAAATACACAAAGTCTTGTATGAGATGTACGTTTTCTTTTTGTCGACTCAGGTGTATCCAGACGTTGAGTTAAGTGAAAAAACTTCAAAAATTTTATATTTCTTGTTAAGAATTTCAAATAGAAATATTATTTATAGCACGAAACGTGCTCTATTAGCTCTAATGGCGTGTTTTTTGAACTCTGTCATGGTATAAATTCTGTTTTAGACAGCACGGCTAATTCAAATCCATAAAATTCAGACAAAATCGTTTCGCTTTCTGATGTAGTATTTTTCTTTGTTTATTTTGTTTTGGCGGTCATTATAAATCTACTTAAAAATATATTGATATTAGTATAAAAATTTTTTGCTATAAGGATAGTTATTTTTAAAGTTTTAAATTTTTAAAGTAATTTTTAAAGTTTAAAGGTAAAAATATCACGACATATTTTAACATTTATAAAGTTTAGTATAAGTATGGGCTGGATGGTGAATAGCCAGATTCATAAGTGTGCAGTTTGTCAACATTCTTTGGACAGTGGTATCAACTTTCCGATCAGATTTGACAAAATCTAAATACTCGATAAAAGCAAGTTAATTACGCGTACGGGAAGCCGTTGAAATAAAAAAAAAAATACCATAACTTTAATAGAGAAGATAGTTGGTGCTTAAATGTAATTTACACCAGGTATCTTCTTATCGTAAAGATAAAACTATAAGCCAAACAATCTGCAAGATGTGAAGATACTTACTATTAGTTTATTTTGTGTTAAACGAAACATATAAGTCTAAAAACAATTTTTATTGACGAATCGACGGTAGTTGACACAGTCGGAATCTGTTAAGTATTCGAAGCATTGGAAATAATTGTTAAAAACCGAAGAAAATACTCAATTTTTATTTATTTTTTGCTTAGATGGGTGGACGAGCTCACAGTCCACCTGGTGTTAAGCGGTTACTGGAGCCCATAGACATCTACAACGTAAATGCGCCACCAACCTTGAGACATAAGTTCTAAGGTCTCAGTATAGTTACAACGGCTGCCCCGCCCTTCAAATCGAAACGCATTACTGCTTCACGGCAGAAATAGGCACTTTAAATATTTCTTATCTGGCCGCTGAAAGAATACGTTCTCGTCAGCAATCGGACGGTGACAGATGGAATGTATCTAAATATAAGCCAAGAATAAGCTGTTAGCTTATCCGTGATAACTATAACTCTAAAGTATTCAAACCGTCGAAAATAATTGAATGTAAATAATAAACGCGCGAAAGAGCTGTAAAGTAATTATATTATACCCACAAACTTCGCAAATTACAATATTAAAGAGCCTCAGTTTAAGCCTTATCGTACTTACAGCTACTCCAATAGACAGAGCCTAATGAGTTTCTCGCCGGATCTTCTTAGGGGGTCGCACAGTTCCAATCCAGTGGTGAATTCTGCGAAGCACTTCTCTTACTAGGGCTAGTGTTAGCAAATTCTCTCAGCTTGCGGCCATGAGTTCACCTACCTGTCCGCACGTAGCCGTAGCCCTTTATGCTAGCAGCGAATTAGAATGAAAAAATCGGTTGTCTGTAAAGTCGGTTTACTGACGATAGTTGAACGTGACAACGTCATAAGAAAATACTGATGGAATGGTTTCATTTTTCAAAAGAAAATTTTAATTTTATTTGTTTGATAGATATATTGTATGGACATAAAGAAGGAGGTAAATGAAAATTATTAATAAATACTTGGAAAAAATTGGACTTATAAATATTGGACGAAAACATGTAAATGTATTGTTGCATAGCAGCTGTCCACGCGGATGCATCGCTCACTCAAGTAGGAGAGAGACAAATGTCGAACGCTGCCGAACGCGGAGGCCGATTGTGCCTCTTTGTCGCTCGTTGCGCGCTCTCGCTTGCACTTGCGAGGTAACGCCGCATGAGTCATGTTTTTTCGTGCGTGCAGCCGGCTCCATCGAATTATAAGACGTTGTCACGTAAAAAAATATAGCTACTGATGCCTCATTTGCATGACGTAGTTTTCCAATACCGAGATCTTCTAAAATTTCCATATAATTTAAACCATCTCAGTATTAAGCATTGACTTTTCTTCACATTCCATGAATAAAATAATCATTAAGGGTGCTGGAGTTTTAATGCAAAATTCAGTGTTATTTAAAGAAAATAAAGCTGATTTAACACTGATCCCTAATCAGAAATAAACATGGAAATTATTCTGACGGAATATATCTGAAATTTTAAGTACACTATTTAGTATGTTGAACCATACAGATGCAATTGAAATACACCAGCATACAATATGTAGTAAATACAGTATTGTTTATGCAAATCGCTTCCTGTTTTGATATAAATGAATGCTTCATACTCTATTAAAGGCAATTATCCTCCGAAACTATTCTCCCAAATATATTATATATTTTTATATAAATGTCAAAAGTACCAATGATCGTCAAGATTAGTTTATTTTAAGAGCAAGCAAGAGTTTCAGTTATAGCTATAAAAAATATAAAAACATACCCGCCCGTCTTAGTCCATATCAGCAACCTTCGCGCCCGAGCTTTTCTGTGGGTGACGATTCTAATGCAGTGGTAGTAGCTGTTCCTTGAGCGGCTGAGCGTACTCTAGGGTTGCTTCAGCAGCTGCTGTTACGCATTTTTCTCCTGGCTCTCCTGGAATCTCCCTTATATTCTAACTAAGCGGCAAGGTGTTTGGACCAACTGTGACTCTACCTAGAAAAAAAAGTGTCCCTGATTTTAACTTTTATTTAAAACTAGCTGACCCGGCAGACTTCGTAGTGCCTCAATTGATAAATAAAATACCTAAACTTTTGTATAAAATAGACTTAAAACAAACAAAAGGAATCCGTCCGACGGGGGACACATCAAAGGAAAAACAAAATTGTTATTTTTATTTAATTCCGAGCATTTTCATATTTATCTACCTTTTAAACCTTCTCTGGACTTCCACAAATAATTTAAGACCAAAATTAGCCAAATCGGTCCAGCCGTTCTCGAGTTTTAGCGAGACTAACGAATAGCAATTTATTTTTATACATATAGATGTAACTCTAATCTCTTGGTATTGCAATTTTTGCTCGGCTCTAAGTTTTGCTTGATCACGTTATTTCTTTTTTCTTTATTTTAGATCGTTTACTTGAACTTGTAGTGATTCTATTTGTATTGTATCTATTTGAAAACAGCTAACTGTTCAGGTACGACCAGCATGAAAATCAAGACAAATAAAAAAGGTCCTTTTTATCAGCTGTATTTTCATAGAAAACCTACAATAAATAGTTCTTGTTTATTGATGAATAGGTTAACTAAATGTCTTAGGAATTCTCAACCAGACAATTACGAATTAAGAAAGAAAGTTTTGCAATATTTAATTTTCAAAGTGCAATGAAAATACTTTCTGGAAACACTAGTAGTTCGAAATTTGGTACCAGACTTATTCAATGGTTAATTAAAGACATCTTTTTTCTTTCAATTATTTATAGAACAGTCCCCACAAAAATTCTAAAATAAAATCGTATTTTCTTTTGTACGCATTGATGGAAACGTTTAGAAGTACCGACTGTCCTATATATTGGTACAGGAATATGCAGGATGTTTGTACGGTAGTGTATATCTTACTATAACCACCTCGAGACATGAAGTCGTCGTGGCCTAAGCGATAAGACATCCGGTGCATTCGTGTTGAAGCGATGCACCGTTGTTCGAATCTCGGGCGGGTACCAATTTTTCTAATGAAATACGTACTCAACAAATGTTCACGATTAACTTCCACGGTGAAGGAATAACATCGTGTAATAAAAATCAAACCCGCAAATTGTAATTTGCGTAATTACTGGTGGTAGGACCTCTTGTGAGTCCGCGCGGGTGGGTACCACCACCCTCCCTACTTCTGCCGTGAAGCAGTAATGCGTTTCGGTTTGAAGGGTGGGGCAGCCGTTGTAACTATACTGAGACCCTTAGAACTTATATCTCAAGGTGGGTGGCGCATTTACGTTCTAGATGTCTATGGGCTCCAGTAACCACTTAACACCAGGTGGGCTGTGAGCTCGTCCACCCATCTAAGCAATAAAAAAATAAAAAATAAATAAAAAAAACATGAGGTGAGGAGTTTCGATCTTTTTGTACAATGATGGTCCAAAGTGGAACACGTGAATGCTTAGCAGCGAAATTGAACAAGTTTAAGTACAAGTGTAGCTGTAATGATCATTACGAAACTATTTTTTTGACGGTTTTTATGTTAATTGCTATAAATGACTCTGATTGTAGAAGCTGTTTGCCAACATCTATTTAGTAGTCAGTTAATTAGGAAAAAATAGTATCTACCTGCAGAATTTGAACGACCTGTATCTATCTGTCTTTGTTGCTAAATTTATCCACCTTTTATTTTTTCAGGAAACTACTCCAGACTGGTAGTGTACTTCAGGTTTGAACGTCAAATCGGTCACCACCTCATCCAGACCTTCGCGCCGTCGTCACTGGTAGTTATGCTCTCGTGGTTTAGCTTCTGGCTGGATCTAGATGCTATTCCTGGTCGAGTTACTTTGCTGGTTACCTGCATGCTGACCTTGGTCACGATGTTTACTGGATTGAGAGCTGATATTCCTCCAGTTGCATATGTGAAGGTAATTATTTCATAGAATTTAAACATGAGTAATGTAGCCATTTGAAAAATGAAAAAATATTTGAGAATTATTTGTAACATCAAACTTTCATGTCAAAGGCAGGAATGTCGTATCAATCCGTCCAGGCTACATAATAGAAGCCTCGGTTAAAGGCAGTATTACACAGAATTAATCTATCTATATGTATAAAAATAAATTGCTGTTCGTTAGTCTCGCTAAAACTCGAGAACGGCTGGACCGATTTGGCTAATTTTGGTCTTGAAATATTTGTAAGTCGAGAGAAGGTTTAAAAGGTAGATAAATATGAAAATGCTTGTAATTAAATAAAAATAACAATCTTGTTTTTACTTTGATGTGTCCGCCGTCTGACGGATTCCTTTTGTTTGTTTTAAGTTTATTTTACACAAAAGTTTAGGTATTTTATTTACCGATTGAGGCACTACGAAGTCTGCCGGGTTAGCAGGTTTTAAAATATATCTTAATGCACATCCAATGAACTTTTTAGATTGTTTAAAATTTTGTGCGACTTAATTGTAAATACAGCTGCTCAAAATAATTAGGAACTCATTTAATTAAAACGCTTTAACAGTTTCTAGTATGCAAACTGAATAAATGACTTTTATTGGTTTATTTTACGTCCTACTAATAAATAATATTCTGACAAGCTCCAAAAATTAATTAAAAACATTCACTACAAGTCATCTCTAAGTTGTTTATTGTGTTACAGTTTAAATACAGCACAGTAGGCTAACCGTTATATTTAACAAAAATAGATCAGTAAAACATTTATTTACTGTATCGAATGGTTTTAAAGCCAAAGGTATGCTTTGTTTTGAAATATTTAGTTCATAAATGTTCGTAAAATTTTGGGTCATCAAGTGGGTTCGATTCCCATATCGGGCAAATATTCGTCTGATGAACAGGTTTGTATGCTCATTGTCTGGGCGTTTATTATCTACATATGTATGTATGTATTTAAACGTATATAAACTAGAAATCAGCATAGATTATGTACTATTCTATTTCCTAGATTTTTTGGAAAACTTTTTTTANTACAGCACAGTAGGCTAACCGTTATATTTAACAAAAATAGATCAGTAAAACATTTATTTACTGTATCGAATGGTTTTAAAGCCAAAGGTATGCTTTGTTTTGAAATATTTAGTTCATAAATGTTCGTAAAATTTTGGGTCATCAAGTGGGTTCGATTCCCATATCGGGCAAATATTCGTCTGATGAACAGGTTTGTATGCTCATTGTCTGGGCGTTTATTATCTACATATGTATGTATGTATTTAAACGTATATAAACTAGAAATCAGCATAGATTATGTACTATTCTATTTCCTAGATTTTTTGGAAAACTTTTTTAATCAATATTATAGAAATAATGTAGCTGCGTCTTGGCTGTGCTCTTGGCATTACTGGTGTTTGCAAGTGAACGTATAATACTATCAGCTAGGGGGTCAATAGTTTATAGGGCAGTTAACAGACATTGTAATACCGACTTCTTCCTTATATCTCAGGATTTGTGTCTCAATTTATATTATATCATAATGTTCATAAGCAATAAGTGTGACAGCAAACATCACAACGACCGTGATCTCGTAGCCATTAGAATGAATCACAATTACAGGCTTTAGATTTATGGATGGCTGGTTGCATGATGTTCGTCTTCGCCGCCCTCGGAGAGTTCGTAGTCGTCAAGGTGCTGGACAAGCAATACCAGATGAACAAGAACAAAGCGCAGGAGTCTATGCCGAGGATCATACCAGTGGTAACTATATAAATTTTACCTTAAAACTTGTGGTAAATATTTTGATTTCTTTTTCAGTTATGGCTTTTTTAAGATATTGGATGGCTCTGTGGCAGAAATTAGAAACCTCTAAATGAATGTATACAAATGGAACAAGGAAAAAAAAGATGTGTGGTGTCGCGGGACACCGGATAGGAACGAAGTTCCGTATTATAAAAATATTAATTTTAAGTTCTATACGAGGTATGAAGAAAATAAAACTGGAGGTTTCGCAACAACCCACTGTCATTCGGTAACGTGCAAACTTAATGTGGTACACTTCATTCACGGTTGTTTGCATAAGATTGTTGAGTTAGGTGTATTGCGCAGCTCCTCCCGGTGATGGTCACGGGGCGACCTAAGGGGGTTGAGGCTGCGCCGCACGCTACCGTCACTCTAGCGCGCTGGCACCAGGAGGACGGGACGGCGCGTCGGCGGCTGCGGACTGCGATGCGGTCCGCATTTTCGTCGTCGCTGTCGTCGCCGAACATACTGTTGAAGAGCAACCCGGTCGGCGGTGTATCGCGTTCCGACCCGGCAGGCTGGTTCTGGCCCAGCGGGGTATCCCGGAACACCAGCGGCACCGCCCGGGCGGCCTGGTAGGGCCGCCGTACCGCGGAGACCGACGTCGTTGGTCGTCGACTATCGCCTCGACGACCCGTCGGTCGGGCGTCCTCGGGGTGGCGCCGCGTGTCTGGTTGTAGTGTTGACCGCGGGAACCCCCCTACTCTGAACGGGTTCTGACCCCGGACGGAGATCGGACGTCGGGTGTAAGAGTGCAGGGGAGTCGTTTAGTGGGTGGGCCCTAAAATCCTTGGGCCCGCGATCTGCTCTCAACACCTGCAGATCGTTGAGTCTCACATACCCCGCGCGCCCCCTAGGCGCGGGGACCTCGTAGGAGGTTCGGCCCCAAAAAAAAAAAAGGTGTATTGCGCAAACAAACGCTCTGAGATCGTGGTCAAATAATGATAAAAAAATATGTTATTTTTTGTACGTTATTACAAAGTTAAGTCGTACACTGTGTGCATTACTAATTTGTACGTTATTACAACGTACACTGTGTGTATTACTAATAAAAATCTTACGTTACGGACGTTTTTTCCCGTTAGGGTACCCCTTCGCATCGTCCCATAAGGAACTTCGTTCCAAAAATGAAAACAATAGGTTTTATTTTAATTTTTTCCCAATTATATTGTACATATTAAGGTGTTATATAAATAAAGAGTTATTATTATTATTATTATTATATTCAACGGATCCATTCGCTCTAATTATGGACCTAGTTCATTGAGACAAAGATACGTCGTTTCTTGCAGCGTCTGAATGGAGATAAAGGATCATGTGGCACTATTGCCGCTTGGGAAGGCTCAGGTGTCCGATGCAGGAAGGTGGATATCACTTCTCCGACTTCCCCTGCAGCAGGCACTCCAGCAGTACATCCCACTCCATCTGCCACAACACCACATGTAGTGGGAGTGGAAAGAAGACAAAGTATATTACAGGTAAAACTGAAATTCAATTCTATATTTATTTTTCGTCATCTATATATTAATGCGTGAAGCAAAAACTTTGTGCCCGTTTTTACCGAAATTGCGCTGACAGAGGAATATGAAATTTCCCACACTTATAGAGAATATAGAGAAGGAGTGCAGAATGCTAATATTTTATTAAAATTATGCATTAATAATACGTTAATTAAATCAATAAAAAATATTACACACACTACCATGTATTTGACACATACTAAAATATACCTACTCTTTGTTTATTGTTTAAAGTTTGTGGTCAAAGTGAGAATAGATTAATATTGTTTGTCTTTAATATAATTTTTCTATAGTGTAGTCTTGGCAAAATCTGTGATTATAAAAGTAAAGTTTGACAATAGAACCAATAATAATGTTCAAACTTATAATTTCAAATTATAGTCGAATTTCGACTATTGGGCGACCACTAGTCAACAAGCCTACTTCCAAATATCACGTCACTTTATTAGGTTTTCTTATCAGGGTAAATAAAGGTCATGGGACAATACAGGAAGTAAAATATTCTGTTCCAATATCGACACTTTTTTTATTATTGCCCTTGTAGGCAGACGACCATGGCTGAGCCTTTGCTCGCCCACCTGTCCTGGTGAAACTGGAAAGGCCTCCGGGCCACCGTAATCCTTCAACCATAAAAAAAAAGACGACCATACGGCCCACCTGATAGTAAGTGGTTACCGTCGCTCATGGACGTCAGCAATGCCAGGGACAGGGCCAAGCCGCTGCCTACCGCTTAATACTCTCCACAAGCCTCCCTTGAAGAAGGACATGTCATAGCACTCGAGAAACCCAGTGGAGGGGAGCTCATTCCAAAGCCGGATGGTATCTACCTGGCAAAAACGATCTCTGGAAACGCACTGTTGATGAACGCAGTAGCTCCAGATAGAATGGATGAACTCTACTCCGGTGACGGGCGGTGCGATGGTAAAAACGAGATGATGGGATCATCTCAAACAATTCCTCAGAGCATTCCCCATGAAACATACAGTACACTTATCCCGTTCTGGAAAGCCAAAGAAACCAGATATTCGGCCATAACACAAGCGGGGGCTCGGGTTCTATTTTTTATAACGGTGATTGGAGACACGACTTCGTTGACCTCACAGTGCACCTTTTATCTAACTACTCAGATTCGATATTGGATTGATCTGTCCTTATTTGCAGATCTGCTCATATACTTTCTCGATATCGGACTGTATCTGTAGATAGCGATAAAATATATTAGCTGCGTCGTATGTGTGCTATAAATATAAGAAGATTTGTAATCAGATAAAGACGTCTTATTTAATAGCATCAGCTTAGTGTGTTAGATACCCATACGAGTTAAGAATCAATAAATAAAATATTGTCGTTTTTGCTATTATTTAAATGGGAGTTTATCAGAAAATTTGATGACGTGTTTAGCGGTTCTGTTCTCATAGAAAACTGATCTATTGGACTCAAAAATATAAGCTTCAAGTTGTTTTCTAATTTGATTTTTTCTATGGAAATTTTGCTAATTAGAAAACTTTTTTTGGAATTTATTTTCGAACACCTATTATTCCACGGATTCTGCGCTCACTGATATATATAAGTTGAATTTTCATCTAAAATTGATATGGTGAACGGTGTTCTAACTTTTCTCCATATTTTGATTGATGCCTGTAACTCATTAAAGCCATTCATTCATTCATGATATTGTGAAGACTAGACAGCCGTAGCCGACAAAGATATTTGGTTACAGCGAATTCTATCGTAAATTAATCAAAGGAACTGATAATGTTACTAGCCAGTACTCGAGGCTTCTCTTGTTTTAATAATCTGAATATGCTTAATATTGCAACTCACGGATGACTGATTATTCGTGGCCGTGAAAAAACACAATTTTATGCCTTCAGTACATAGTGCAGTAAATACTGCAAATGAAACAATCAGCTGCTTGATTAGTGCTGAAGATACTGTCAAAAAGCTATATACCAGTATTTCTATCTTGTCAGTCATAATATCTTCTGAACAATGTCATTTTTTTTTGCCCTTGTAGGCAGACGAGCGTACGGCCCACCTGGTGGTGAGTGGTTACCGTCGCCCATGGACTTCAGCAATGCCAGGGGCAGAGCCAAGCCGCTGCCTACCGTTTAATATTCTCCACAAGCCTCGTTTGAAGAAGGACATGGCATAGCGCTCGGGAAACACCGTGGAGGGGAGCTCATGCCATAGCCGAATGGTACGTGGCAAAAAATACCCCTGGAAACGTACTGTGGATGACCGCAGTGGCTCCAGGTAGTATGGATAAACTCTACTCCGGTGGCGGGCGGTGCGATGGTAAAAACGAGATGCCGGTATCATCTCGAACAATTCCTCAGATCACTCAGAGCACACACATTTATGAACATGTTGTAGCTTTTAGAAGGAAAATTATATATTGCAAACGACTGTGTATTTTCTATTTGACAGATGGCTTCGAAATAATAAAGATTAATATAAAATACATCGATACGACATACAAAAAAATCAGTAATTTTTTACCAGGTTTTATTACCTTTTTTGTGAACGTCTCCAATATACAGACACACTTCTGTTGAATTATTATAATATAAATTATTGTGTATCTCATTGTGTTCTCTTGAATATTTATAATTAGAACCTTTTGTTAGCTTACGGAAAGATGATTAAGTAAGTAAATATAATATAAATGTAAGTAAGTAAATAAGTAGTAAATGAGCGTCTATATTAATTAGCAAAACCCGCTGTTCTATCGTTATTACTCGACAATACTCGAGACTGTATAATAAAGGATATTCGTTTTCAGTTAGGGATTTACAAAAAACATACAACATAAGTCTCCTAAGTATTAATTTATAACATAAAATATCATTTTATTATCTTTCTTCTATGCTACGCAATATCCTTAGAAACTTTTTTTTTCATTCTTCAGTTCATTATATTAAATTATAGTTCATAACCGGCATTTATTACGTTGTGTGGGGCATCTAAAACAAGTAGCTAAAATTCACAGATCATAGAAACAGATCTTAAAAACAAGTAGCCAAAATCCACAGATCATAGAAACAGTGTTTTTATGATCTGTGCTAAAATCCGATATTGAGGAATCGAAATATATACTTAATTACTAAAGTAAACCGCAGCGTTTCTGTGCTAAGTTAACGAATCCGAAATTTATAGCTTTTAATATAATACATTTACAATTTATATCTTACATGGAAGAAACAACAAGTCAAACATTGAAAATAAATTCGAGAATTCGAAAATTGAATAAGAAAAAAAGAGCTTTACTCGTTTAAAACAAACTTTAAGCACAAGTCATTGTAAGTCGTGTTTTCATCATAATAAATTGGCTGTGAAAATTATTTTTCGTTTCATTACACATAATTAATTACCTTGTCAATCATAGCCGTAGGTACTGTAATATATACATATAAATAAAATTGGAGTGTCTGTTTGTAATATTGAGATAACTGCTTTTTACTACATGCATATGAATATATATACGGTACATACACCAAAATAACATTTTTTACAATTTTTGTCTGTCTGTCTGTCTGTTTGTTCCGGCTAAGCTCTGGAACGGCTGGACTGATTTTGACGGGACTTTCACTAACAGGTAGCTGATGATATAAGAAATAACTTAGGTTACTTTTTTTAGACTAGCTTCGCCCCGCGGCGTCACCCACGGTACGACAATAACCGCGGGTAACATCGCGGGACTCATCAATAATAAAATTTAATGTTTCCGAAGCGAAGCGAGGGCGGGTTGCTAGTAGGATATAAGATTATTTACAGTTTGTCATGCTGTTACTTTTTTTTTTTTCAATAGGTTGCCTGGCTGGATGCTGACACCGGACAGGAGAGAGTGCTGTGGAGAGAAATAGACAAGCTTTCCCGCGTGGTGTTCCCTGCTTTGTTCCTGCTCTTCGTTACGATGTATTGGCCTGTTTTGCTGCTGAAAACAAAGGCTTCTTCATAACGATATTCATATTTTTTCTGTCTCATCATCATCATCATCTTCATAACGATATTCATAATTTTTCTGTATCAGCCTTCACAAAGCATTAGCTAGAATTTTAAGTAGGTACATAACGAAAGTATTCATTGGATTAAACTTTTCAGTGTAATTAATCGATAAAAGTTCTATCCCAGAAACCGTATAGGCTAATTTTGTCTACGATCAGTCCAACCAGTACCCAGAGTCTATATGGGTTTCACTGGATACCAATATCCTACATACACAAACGTATGAGCGGTTGGATTGCAATTATGTCTATAGATGCTTAGCAGCATTCAGTTGTGATCAGGTCTATCAACACGGTAATGTTAGCAAACGAATTAAATGTTCCGTTGATCCACTGCTGTTTCACAAACGAACGTCCGATACATTTTCAATGAAAGGTTGTGAGAGACATTTGTGTAGATATTTTTGAAAGACACAAACAGATTATGTGGAATTTTATTTATTAATACACCGATGGTCTCTAAGTAATGACTCGTGTACATGGCCAGGGATCTTCTCTACCGATAGAATCCAATAAATCTTAGGGATAACCAGTTCACTGCGGTTGCATCAGCGATATTAGTTAATTGTAAGCTACCGACTGTGTCCTTGGCAATAGTGATATTTGAAGCAGTCAGCGCAAAGTGGCCTAAGCTTACCATAGTTAGTATAGATATAATGAGGTTTGAATTTACTTTTACACTGCTTCAGAGGAAAAAACAATACGCGCAAAAATAATGTTTACAAAGCAATCTGTTATCTATGGGTAAAACTAGTTTGTTTTTTCCACCTAAGCTGATGGCCTTGAGAGGCCATTTCAGCGTAACCCTAACAAGTAGGTGAGCTCGCGGGGCTGAAACCTGACAAATTTGCTAACACTATCTTCAGCAAAAGAATCTACCACCGGTTCGCAGAATCTACCACCGGATCGGAAACGCAACTCACTGAGAAGATCCGGCGATAAACTTAGTTGGCTGTGTCTGTGCGGGTTAATTTACTCGCCGCTCTTCGTCGCAAGCAACGGTTTGACAAGAACAATCACCGGTGCTTGAGATTGAAGAGGAAAGCACCGTTAGTGGATCGGGAGGATTCGAAATGACGTGTGAAACTAGGGATAGGCCGGTTTTGTATCAAAATTTATTATTTTTTAAATAAATTGCAATACATAAATACGAATATGAAAAATTGTGAGTTAGGCCACTTTTGCGTTGACGGTCTCATTTATACGTGACGGTGCTCACTTACAGGTCAGCTTCCCGTCCGTCTGTGTACAGTAATTAATAAGAGAAAACTATAGATGAAAATATTTTAATTTGTATATTTTGAATGAAATATTTGAAAAGAAAAGTTAGTTTTTAGTCTATTGCTATTTTTGTTTTCTTCATCAAAATTTATTAATAGCTTTGGAGTTTTGATAGCTATAATTTTGTATGTAGGGACCATAAATGAGCACAAAGAATCAATGCAATAGGTAAATTAATAATAAATAAAAAATATTTTTAGATAGTTCGAAGTGCTTTAGTATAATAGTTATTTTAAATATTTTGAATCGTCTAACTTTATCACAACGAATCATTGATTTCATATAAGCGTTTAAGACCCTTTGAGATTTTATAGAGCTGAAGCAGTTTGCCTTTTATAATAATTTGAAACGTATCTAAACTAAAAATATTTTTTGGGTAAAAAAAGAATGTTTTGAGTATTACAGCTTAAAATAATGTTCGTTATATTTTCAGATATTCGTTAAGAAATTATTCGATGATGTAAAAATATTAGACGTGTGTGGATAATTCTGAATTAATTTTCAATAAATTAAACATAATTAAACACAATTAAAATCCACAAATTGCTAATAATTTTTTTGATTGTTTTAAATGAATATTTGATATTTCGACAAAATTATAATTCTTAATTGAAACGATAATATTGTTTGTATTTTCCGAAATTAAATAAGGTGCTTTTAAACCTCATAAAGATAATAACTAAATATTGTACTATCGTGTTGCATTCACATTAAGCTTTAAAAATTGTGATAGATTATTATTATATTAACAAATATTTATTAATATTGTAAATATATATTGTTATGTTATAGTATTTAAATTCATAGTATTTTTTTAATATGTATGAAAATACATAAACTAACATAATATGTTCTTTGTAACAAACCAGTAATTACTACATTCTCTTTATGACAACATTAAAATCTAAATAATAAAATCTTAAGTCTAAATAATAAATAAGTCGGTTTAATTGTATTGAACGATGCGACTGTACCGTTCAAATTCCTAACGCATTTTAAAATAATTTTCACAAATTACTTGTGACATGTGATGAAGGAATAACATATTTTATTTCTGTCAATAATTATGTCAATAAACTTAAGAAATCAAAATAATTTAACATAAATCAATTCATACAGTAGAACAAATCTTCTAATGCGTTTGAAGGAAGCTCAAGATACTGGCTGCGTTACCTAGTTGGGACAGCCAGACTCACTCTCCGTGCAAAGTATCAGCCAGCCTTAGCATCACGTGTAGCTTCCTTCAAGCGCTTAGAGATTTCTGATAAATCATTTTTTAATTTAAAAATTAAAAAGTAAAAATTGCGCAATTACAATTGAGAAATACACCTCGAGTCTCTAGATAGATGACGGTATCTATGTCTAGCGATTGCGATAATTACCGAACACCAGGATTGACGCGATAAAACAAAAACAATTAGTACCTACAAAGATTGTCGTCTTGTGGGCGTCAGTCAATTCATGACATAAAAGATTATATTGAGCCTACTTCACCATCTTACTTTGACCTCCAAGAACGATTTCTTATATTTAAATTTTACAATAACATTCATCGAGAATAAAACCTCTGTCGGGGATTAAGCGCGTCTGGTGATTATTATTTAAATTTGCACAAAAACAACTCAAAATTACTAGTAAATAAATATTACCTACTGCTATTCGATAAAAACAAAATAAGTTTTTTGAAAAATAGTCGTAATTTTATAATAACAAATACGATAATATTATTTTTAAGGTTCAAATTGTAGTAAAAACTATTTCAGTTAACGCTGGTGATGAAAACTTTTTCGCCGTCCATGATCATATTATATGTATGTTGTTATATAATATATGTGAAATTGAAAATGTTCATGTTTTAAATAAAAGCGAGATTTAACAGTAGCTGTGTGTTTCAGATTTATATAAAGTATTACCTGCTTATTTTAGTGCCTATTTTGGTGGTAGTCTGTACCATGCAGTCCATGCCACCCATGATCGGGCACATTGGAAGTACGTCGCATGTAGTCGCGATCCTCAGTAGTGAGGGAACGATATAGAAGAGAGCCTATTTTATCTATATATTAATACGTGAAGAAAATACTTTGTATCCCTTTTTACGAAAATTGCGCGAACGGAGCAGTATGAAATTTTCCACACTGACAGAGAATATAGAGAAAAAGTGCACAATGCAATTTTTTTTTTTAAATATTGCATAAAAGATACATTAAATCAATAAAGAAAACATTACACACACTACATACCATGTATTTGACGCACACGCGCATGCATACTATTTATTGTCAAACTTTTGTTCTCGACGTCTGTTGTCAAACTGGGATTAGATTAAATATTATTTGTCTTTGTTCATATTTTTTATAATGTAGTGAGTAGTCTTGGCGAAATTTGTGATTATAGAAGTATAAAATACAATCATAATAGTGTACAAACTTACAATTCCAATTAATTATAGTCGAATTTCGACTACTACGGGACCTCTAGTTAGTATAAATTCTTTTACTGATCGCAGGGCGGTAATATAGAGAGGGGATAATGAGTAATATGATAACGCCGAAATCCTCTTACTGTTAGGTAGGTAGGTACTTCATGATTTACAGTCATATGACAGTTGACATTCTGTTTTTTTTAAGGGATTTTATGACCTGGTAACTAAGACCTTTATTTAGGTCAAGTCTTATTTTAATTTTAATGAAGACTTTTCTATATCAAAAATTATATTGCGAAATGAAATAAAGTTGATTAATTTGAAACATGACATGAAATGAAATGAAATAAGAGACGAGATGAGACGAGACGAGATGAAATATAATCTCGGTAAAATGGTGGTCATTCACTGAGACTTTTTCAGTGGACTTTTTGGAGAATCCCCAGAAGTTATGTTCAGCGGCTTTTTTTTATTTTCCCACATTTGTGCACTTTCACAGATACTAAACAGTTCATAAACCACCGTTATTACTCATTCAAACCTGAAGAAACACTAAATAGACACAACTTCACTCCTCGCGTTCCCGCCAAAAAGTCTTGACATTCTGAGAATGACTGCAATAAGGTTGCCTCCTAACTAAAAATAGTTTGGTACATTTAGATGTCACTTCGTTTCCGCATACGTCAAAATATACTTGAATACTCGTAAAAGGTTATTTAATAAATGGGGAGAAAGAAGTGGAAGAAAAGGAGCTGGTTTGTATTGCTAAGAAAATTAACACAATAAAGCCAACCACGGAGTTTGCTAAAAGCTGGAGGATTTTTTATTTTTTATTTTATTGCTTAGATGGGTGGACGAGCTCACAGCCCACCTGGTGTTAAGTGATTACTGGAGCCCATAGACATCTGCAACGTAAATGCGCCACCCACCTTGAGACATAAGTTCTAAGGTCTCAGGTAAAGTTACAACGGCTGCCCCACCCTTCAAACCGAAACGCATTAGAGAACTTAGCAGGTGGCCTCAAGAAAAGCCAAACGTCTAAAAACGTACAAACGTCCGGTACTAAATAATCCAGAAAAAGGCACGCAGAAAAAGTAAGAAGCTCTTTGTTACCGCTGTCAATGCGGGTTATCTATAGTTCAATTAACAAGGGCATCTTAGGGGCTAGACAAAGTGGGGCTTACCTTAGCTTACAGCATACGAACGCTAACACTATTTAAGAACATACTTTATCTAGTGTCCTGTTGTTCTAAATAAATAAAAAAAACTACATAAATGAAAACGATAATGGCCTATTCAGTCTGCTAAAGAAAATTAACTCGGTGATGCGTATCACGTCAATAACAGATGCTAGCAATCTATGGCAATGGCCGAAGTTATAAGTTTACCAATAATTTTTATTTATTGGCAAAATAAAATGAATAAACTTCGAAACTGCAGTTACAGGATCGTGTAGCTATTTTACTTTTATTTTCAGACAATTTATTGTTTGTTTAACCCTTTGACTGTCATGTAGGTCACCGGTGCCCTACGCGGCGCACTGAAGTAATTATGTCGAGTTACTAAGGCGCCGGAATATCTAGTAGACTCTGAGAGAGATGAACCCGAAGATACTGAGAATGAAGATGTTTCTAAAGGACCTAAAATCTTAAGAAATACATTAAACAAAAAAAGGCAAAGTAATAATAATAATAATAACTTTATTTGACACCACATGTACAGAGTGAGCATAGAAAACAAATAATAGACAGTGACATAAATTGGCGGCCCTAACGCTGAAAGCGATCTCTTCCAGGCAACCTTGCAGGGAGAGGAATAAGCAAACTAGTATGAACGGTGCTGTATCTTAATAAACTTACATAAAAATATATACTTATATACAAATGTGAAAAATAAATCTAATATATAAAATTCTCGTGTCACGGGGTGCGTGATTGAACTCCTCCGAAACGGCTCTACCGATTTTCGTGAATCTTAGCGTGCATATCGGTCAGGATTGAGAATCAAACAACATCTATTTTTCATCTCCCTAAATGTTAAGAGTGGTCCACCCCCAAATTTTATTTTTTATTTTTTAGACAAAAAGTTTTGTTTTTATTTTTTTATGATACAGCATACAAAAATACATACAACCTTACATTTTCACACCTCTACGATTAACCA